AATTTGTCATACAGCATTTATTTTGTGGCAATCTAGTTTACTCACAAAGAAGGCATATATTGAATGTCCACTATGCAGCAGTCACTGGGTGAGCCATAACATAAGAGTTCTGAAGTAAATTGGTTGATTCCTGCACTCTGTGCTTTCCTAAGTGGTATGGTAGGAATTTTCCAATTTCAGAAGATGTGGCCCAGGAACTCCACCCACAGGACAAGGAGACTGAAGAACAGGGACTAGGTAAAGGCTGTCAAAGAAATGGACACTTGCAAGCACAGTAAGCTGTGAAATGTCTCCCAATTGGGACTTCATATTAAGTTATCTAGGCATCCGTTATTCATCTTTAAGATAAAATGATGTGAAGACCTAATTCTAATGATACAGCTCTAATTTTCCCAACAGAACTTATTTTTCCTTGTAAGATAAACTTGATTCTTCTAAACTTTCCAAGCAATTTTCTGTAGAGACAAGATGTGGGCTGCAGCTTAAACAGAACCAAACCTTCTATCCAAATGTGGAGTTTAGGAAATGGAGTGTTGCTTATATTTGAAAGATCTCAGTAAGTGTTTAACACAATTCAAATAGGAACCCAGATGTGGTGGCACACAACTATAATCCAGGCTACTCTGGAGTCCGAGGCAGGAGGATTGCCAGGTTCAAGCCCAGAATGGGCCACTTAGCAAGCTAGAAAGACCTTGTCTCAAAATAAAAAATAAAAAGGGATGGGGCTGGGGATTTAGCTCAGTGGTTTTGCTGCCTGCTGTGCAAGCGCAAGGACCTAAGTTCGATCCCCAGTACCTAAAATAAAATAAAATAAAATAAAATGGGTTGGGGATGTAGTTTATAGTAAGAGGCCTCGTGTTCACCTCCCAACACTGCAAAACAAAACAAAGCAAAACAAAACAAAACCCAAATCAGTTAAGAGAGATACAACTGATAGTTGAAGTTCAAATTTCCTCTCCTGAACTACAGTATCAAACAATCAAGATATCTAAATACAGTAATTCCTCCCATGCTCAGTGGTAGGTTACTGAATTAAAGTATAACTTAGTCTTTCCTTCTTTTGTGTGCAGTGAAATTTGAAAACTTGGTCACCTATAATCCTTCCCCAAAATATAATTTAAGAATAATGCTATCAGCTTCCAGAGTATTCCTTTTCTTCTTATTCTTTTGTTTTATATTAGTTCAGTTTAAGATTCCATTATGGTCTATTTTTTTGGAAAGGACTGATGTTGATTTAAAAAAAAAAACAAACCAACAGTTTATAATATGTGTTGAGTTTCCAAGGTATTCCCTAACCCTGAAACTCAGTTGTGTCTCTTCAGCCTAGGTTAAAATTTTCACTATGAAATCATTCATATATAGGGTAAACTCCATTTCCCAAACAGCATGTTATAGTTTAAGGGTTGGATTCATTTGAGTCATACTCTGATTTTGTGTCTGAGTGCACAGCAGCCATGGAGGCCCTGGCAAAGCGATTAAGGAAGGGCTTCTCACCTGCAGAGGGAAAACAGGTGCTTCAAAAGAAAGAGAAGTTGTGAGAGCTCACAGGAAAGCCCAACCAAGCCAAGACCATTTCAGGCAGCAGAACAAAGCTAAAGAAATGCATTTAGGGGCTGGGGATTTAGCTCAGTGGCACCGCACCTGTCCCATAAGTGCATGGTCCTGAGTTCAATCCCTGGTGCCAGGAAAAAAAAAAAAAAAGAAAGAAAAGAAATGCATTTAGCCAGGCATCGTGGTGTATGTCTGGAATCCCAGCTACTTGGGAGGTTGAGGAAGGAAAACTCAGTTTAATACTAGCCTAGACAATATAGTGAGCCGCTGTTTCAAGAAGAGGAAGGGGAAGAGAAGGAAGAAAGAAGGGAGGAGAAAAGAAAGAAGAGGAGAGAGATAGGTATTTAGTTCAACTATTTCTGCAGGTGTGGAACACAATCTTTCTTCACTCTCCCACTCCACCCACCCCTGGGACAGAGCAACTCCACTTAGAGATAATATGACTTCAAAGCACATATGATAGAACACCTTGTTGGCTTTGATACTGTGTGTTCCAAAAAGACTGAAAAAGTTAATAGGTTTCAGCATCCTGATGCTCTTTTTATGGTGGGGGTAGAAAGTGGGGGTGGTGGCAATTTAGGAAAGAAGGGGAAGAAGAACAAAGGGCAGCAGGTACAGCAAAGTCTAAGTGGATGAAGTAAGCCCTTCTGACTTCTTGAAAAGTACAGTCTGGTTTTCTGGGTGTAAACCAGTTAAAGACTGTTCTGCTTTTTCTTCCACGGTACACTCTTACCCTTCCCTGGTCAATCCTTGGATGCATCTGGGTCCTGATTTGGTTTGTTTAAGTAAATGAGGGGATGGTCAAGGAGGCAAGGCCTCCTATTTCCTGCAGAAAAGAGTCAGCAGTCATATTTTACCTTCCTAACCCTCACAGAGCATGCCCTTAGTCACAGAAAAGGATCAAAGCAAATCCATTTCCATTCTCGGAAAAGCAGCTCAAAGCACGTGTTCTCTTGATGGTGCCGCTGCCATTTCTGTGTAGTCAACAAACATTTATTGAACACTCACCTTGGATACTATTGGGGGATATGTAAAGGAATACATTGCTCAAAGAGGTTAGTATACCTAGCAAAGGAAATTGGCACTCACCTGGCAGAAATGCTATAAGCTTAAAAACCATGCCCATCTCGTATGCTGGTGGTGATGAGTGCAGAAGGCTCTGGTTTATCTTTTTCTGGCATTTGGAAATCACCTTTAAAACAAGAACAACACCTCTTCTCTCCTCTGCCCTCCTCCCCAACCATCTGACCTGAACATTTCAAAGAGGTCTTTGGCATATTTGAGGTACAGACACAACCAGAAGAACAAAGTTTTTCCTTTCCACTTGCAAAGGACTGCTTATTCTGTTACTCGTTCTAAGCCAACTTTCATTCAGTCAATAGGGAGTATTATATTGAGTTTGACAAATATATTTAATGAGTCACCATGGGAAAAGGAATTATCAAATCTCTTCAAATTATTCTGGCCTATCAAAATGATAATTATTAGCCAGGTGTGGTGGTACATGCCTGTAACCCCAGAACTCTAGGCTCACAAATGAGCCTAGCCTGGGCAACATAGTGATTTAGCAAGACTTTATCTAAAAAAATGAAAAGGGCTTAGGCTCAGTGCAAGGCCCTGGGTTCAAGATCCAATGCGGTATGTGTGTGGGGAGGGGCGGTAATTACTGTTTTCTAAACATTTTACTGTGTTCCAGATGCCACCCTAACCTCTTTTGCATATGCTACCACAATAAATCCCTATAGAATTTAAGGTAGCTGTTTTTTTCCTTTTCTAAAAAAATTTTCTCAATTTCATAGATAAGGAAAGTGAGACTTTACGTGGCTACGTAACTTGGTCAACTCAAGGTGGGTAGAGATAATGCCCAAACTTGAATCAAGATTGGCCTGATCTGGGGCTGGGGATTTAGCTCAGTGGTTCTGGCACCTGGCTTGCAAGCGCAATGTCCTGAGTCTGATCCAGGGTACCAGAAAAAAAAAGAGAGAAGTTTGGCCTGATCTGAAGCCCCCTGCCTTTAACCACATTATAATGCTTCAATGTGCAGCACTGAAATCTAATAAAGATTTTTCAAGGTGCCTTATCCATTCCAAAATAAACCTCAAATACCTGTTTGAGTCATTTGAAAGGGCTACAGTATTAAACACACTTAAAGAGAAGGCATGTTGACAAAAGAAGCCAAGTTATGTCTGTGTGGTCACAAGCAACATTTCTTTTCCTTATTTGTGGTACAAAACATAACCAGAACAAACTTCTTCCTTTCCACTTCCAAAGGCATTCACTGGAAACATGAATTCTTGGTCTTATAACAGCAATATCTCAGAATCTCAAATACTGGGACCTCTGAAAAAAGACAATAAAGGTCAGACACCACCAGGTAGACTTCAGGCACTAAAAATAGAATGCTCAAAAAACAATATGGATAGCAACATACATGTTGTATAATTTTTGTGCATGTGAACAAAGGTTTATCTCAAGTTAGTGTTCACATACACATTTTCTCAACCATTACAAAAAGGCTCACAGGAGAAGAGAAACTTATTTTCAAAATTAATAAAGAGCCACAATATACTGTTGTATTACTTGGAAAGCAAAGCCACGAAGCATGTCCTTAAGGAATTCTAATTTTAGCTGCCCTTAGGGCTGAGTTTGCACACAGAAATTTCAAATCTGATGTTTGGCTCGGAAGGTCATTCTTGAAAGGGCTTTATTTTGCAGATAAGGAAACTTGGGCCCTGTGAGGCTGAAAGACCTTATGGGGACGGCGGGGGGGGGGGGGGCACGGGGACACGGACATTATCAGGCAGGTTTGATTTTCTGCTGCCTTCCAGAATAGTTTCTACGGAATTCCAGAACTTCCCTTAAAAATGTGAGTTACCAGAATTCTGCTCACTTCTCAAGCCCCCTGAGGGAGCTGGGGAAGGGGCGCTTCCAGGCCTTGAGATAAGGCCTCTACAGTCCCCAAAGGTAACCGCCCTGGCCCAGCCTCCTCAGCTCCGCGGGCTCCCGCTTCTCGCGTGGCTCTTTCATAACAAAGAGCAAATTCGGTTTCTCTGGTTCTGGATTTAACAGAGAAGGCTCCTCGCAACCCTAAGCACCTCGGAGGCGGTGAGGGCGGGGGCCAGGCGGCTCTCGCGGAGCGTCAGGGCCGGGGCTGGGGCCTGCAGAGTGGCCCCAGGCCAGCAGATGGCCGCGCCGAGCCTCCCCTTTCCCGCCGCCCTCGTCGCTCCGCGGCCGCCCGCCTTCCTCCCCTCCCTCGCGCCGCTTTCTTTCTTCCCCAGCTCGGCGTCCCCCGCCCCCGCCCCAAAACTCCACAGCGCCCGCCCGGTTCCTCGCCCAATGGCCGCCGGGACCCGGCGCGCACAGGCTCCTGGGCCCGGGCTCCCCGCCACCGCGAGCCAATCAGGGCGCCGGGGGTGGAGCCAGGCCGCCGATAAAGGCAGAGGGCTGCGGGGAGCGGGCAGCCTGCAGAGCAGAGAATGGGAGAAGCGCAGGGCTTGTGAGCAAAACATCAGCCTCACTCCGCTCACCTTGCTCTCGCGGCTGCTGTGCTCCTGTTCACCGCCCAGGTAAGCGCGTGGTCCTGCCTTGGGTGCGGGTGGCTGCTTCCCTCCTCGCGCTCTGGCCTCCGGCCGAGTCTGGCTCACTCGCGTCTAACGCGGGCTCTGCCGCCGGCTGCCCCCACGCGGTTGGATGGCAACAGCGGGGTGCGCGCCGTCGCCAAGCTCGGAAACGTGCCTACGGGGGGGGGGCGGTAATGGTGGCTTGTTTTGATGTCCCTTCTGCTCCGAGGCGCCGACCCCGAGGCCCACGCTCCGGGATGGCGGGAGCGGTGGACCCGGTGGCCTTACGGGTCCCCGGGGGGAGCGCCCCGCGGCGTCTGAAGGACAGAGGCGCCTCTCGCTTCCTCCGCGCGGGGGCCTTGTGGGGAGTCCCGCTGGTCCCGGGGGGCTCCTAGACTCCAGGGTCGGGGCGGGCAGCCTGAGGCCGTCGCGTGGCCTCCGGGCCCTTGCAGTGTGACCGAACAATGGAGATTCGGGCCGCGGCGTGGTCGCGGGCGCCCCAGGGGAGACCTTGCCGGGGTGACAGCCGGCGCTGTGGACCCTCCACCCCAGCCTGCCCTGCGGGGTGCAGGCATGGCCCCCTGAGCTAGGCCCAGAGTCCACAAGGGCCTGAGGGGCGGGGCGCCGGCTTCCTGTACACAACCGTGGGCAGGGACAGTTTTCAAAGTGGATGTTCCCAACTCCTCCTGGGGCGGAAAGCGGGGATGCTCCCCCAGCCGCAAATCCATGAAGAAAACATCAAACGAAGATGAAGACTGCACCAGCTCTTGGGCAGTGAAGACCCCCAACTGCTTGACCTTCGTAGCCTGCTCAGGCAACTACGGGGAGAAACCGCAGGTCAAGGTTCTGAGCTTAAACCACCTGTCTGCCAATTCCAGCGCCTCCTGGTCCGACCGCTCCGGGTCACCCCCTCCGAAGCGCTCACCTGGAAAGCTTCAGTATTTGGACCAGCGAGAACCCGAGAGCGAGAAGCACGAACACGACTCTAAAAAGAGGAGAGCTAGAGAGGGTAACCCTAACAATACGGTTCACTCTCTGAACTCTCTGTGGCTGGGGTGAGTGAGGGATTTGAGAGGAGTACCCGCCACAGGCAACAGCTGCAGAAACCATACAGAACTCCTAACTTCATTCCCCTTCCTGCATAAACTAGGCACCGCGGTGGCAGCGGCACCGGTTAATTACAATGCATAGTGTGCTGGCTTCCAGTTTGTCTCGTGGGAAAAAGAAACAAAAAAACCCAAAAGATCCACAACCTGTGGTTTAATTTTGGAGTTGAGACAGCTTTCAGTGGACACAAAATTTCAGGGATTGTCCTGGCCTAAGGCCTAGGTGGAAGGTGGACTTTGATGACCAGGTCTAGCCAGACACCAGGCAAAGGTAGTGTGAGTTCAGTAATAGGATTTGACCAGCGAGGTTCCCTTCCCCTTGGGTGAGGCTGTTGGGAGAAGCAGTTGTTTTCAGCTGGGCAAACATGGACGGTTGCCCATAGAAACATTGCCACTGTACTTCAGAAGTTGCCCAAGTCATCGGAGGAGAACAATTTGTTCCCTTTCCAGCTGTGCTGGGCCAGGGAGGGTGGGGGATGTTTCCTCTTTTGTTGAGGCTGGTTTTGTGGCTTCAGAGACTTCTTTCAGAGGATTTTTGGCTGTGGCTTGCAGTCTTTAGCGTGTTTCAGGGCTTTTGAAATCCCAATCTCATTAAAAGTGGGAATTTCCCACTTCAGGATGTTTTCTAATGGAATCTTAAGAGGATATTGTCATTTTGGTACTTGAGTCTGAGCTTATGTTCTGAAGTGAGAACTTCGTATCACACCACTGAAAATTACTGCAGATTGGATCTTTGAAACCGACTTGAATCAGCTATTTTTATCATCTTTGTAATGGTAATAGGAAGCTGCCAGCCTTTGATTAAATCTTTAACCCTCTTTTTCATCCTGTTTTTTCTTTCTCTTTTTGAAGTAGAGGTGAATCTCCATTAGAATGAAAGGGAGGGGGAAGACGGAACAGAAACTATAGCTGTCTTTTCTGGATTTTACTTGTATTGGGAAATGATAAACATTCTATTTCTGAACCTTTGTTTCCTTTTAGTAGCTTTTTTGTTGTTTTGTTTTGAGACAAGGTCTCTCTGTGAATTAAAGGCTGGCCTTGAATTTGCAGCTATCCTCCTGCCTCAGCCTCCTGAGTCCTGGGATTACAAGAATGTGCCCCCACACCCTGCTCAACAGCTTGTTTTTAAAATCTACCTCAGCTACAGTGAGGGAATAGAACTTTGCGTCAGACTGGAAATTACAGAATCACAAGTATTAATTCCACCTTGGGAGAGGTTTCCTATCTGCAGTAGCTGTGGAACTTCAGCCTCTAAGCCTCAGGGTATAAGGAGATGATGAGTTACTACTAATGCTTGGTCCTTAGCAGTCATCTGCTTTAATTGCTTCAAAAGGTAGTGATCTAGGGGTGGGGATTTAGCTCAGTGGCACCGCACCTGCCTCACAAGGGCAAGGTCCTGAGTTCGTTCAATCCCAGGTATCCCCCCCCCCCAAAAGGTGGTGATCAAATTTTTACCTCCTGCTCTCAAGACTTTAAAACTTTAAACCCCCTGAAAGAAGAGTGACTAAAAGTACCTTTGGGTGTGTTGACTTCCTAGAGAAGGATCACCATTCCCACTTTTTAGATTCTGTTGTCCCTCTTAAGCCATTCCAGCAGGAGATGAGTTTGGAGTCTGTACTGATAAAGCTATTTTTTTCTCTTCAGAACATCTTCCACTATGGCCACCTCAGCAAGTTCCCACTTGAACAAAGGCATCAAGCAGGTGTACATGTCCCTGCCTCAGGGCGACAAAGTCCAAGCCATGTATATTTGGATTGATGGCACTGGAGAAGGGCTGCGCTGCAAGACCCGCACCCTGGACTGTGAGCCCAAGTGTGTAGAAGGTAAGAGTGGGTAGGAGTGGGGCATATCCCAGTGGGAGGAGCACGGGAGGCAGCCATTGGGTAGATTTAGACCAGTGCTGAGAGCCACTAGATTTGGCTTTTTCATTCTGTTTGCAAAGCTTTTCTAAGGGAAGGTTTTTCAGACTTTGTTCAATGTAAAGCTCCTGCTCCTGCACAGCCTCAAAGCATAACAACGAAAGAACCCTTTATTTAAATGGAATCTTGCCTCTAAGCCAGTGAATTGAGAAAAAAAAAAAAGATGGAGTCTGGTTTATAGAGAGGGTGGAGGGCTAGTCTTTGCTGACTTGGCCATCCCTACTTAGCTGGCCCTAAAACATGCTCAGGAACTCAGTTTGAAAGCCACTGCTCTAATTGGAAAAATGCTATATCTAGTTTACAGAATTCTCAAAGTACTGTGTTCTTTACTCAGATCACTGGGTTTCTGGATGAAAGTACATGCTTTGAAGTGGTTTGGAAATTCTTAAATGATCTAGTTACATATACTGTCAGAGGCTACTATATTAGAGTTGTGACCTTAATTTTTCAGTCTAGAACAAACTATGCCCTCCCCCCCAGGGCCCAAGGAGAAAATGTCACCACCTACCTACTTTCAGATAGGTTACTTTTCTAATAATGCTCACATTTGAGGAAATGAATGAGGGGCCGGGGTTTAGGTCAGTGGTTCCGGAACCTGCCTCGCAAGCGCAAGGACCAGAGTTCGATCCCTGGTACCAAAAAAACATATTACCCCCCCACACACACCTTTGATGGAATGAATGAATGAATGACCATAATTTACAACAACATTGTGCACTTGCTATGTGGCTGACATTGTTCACTCCTTGTTCATACAAGGTAAGAGTCTGATCTCTGCCTTTTAAGAACTCAGTAAACTGGTGTGACAAACTGGCCTAGGTAGTATGGGAACATCCATTTCCTAGGCCACAATTTGACCTAGAACATCAGAAGACACAGCGAGAGTGGGCCGGGGATTTAGCTCAGTGGTGCTGCCACCTGCCCAGTAAGCTCAAGGACCGAGTTTGATCCCTGGTACCAAAAAAAAAAAGAAGACACAGCGAGAGATGAGAGAAGAAGGAATCAGAATCTTTCCCTTATCTCAGTGTTTGCAATAACTGACTCGCTGGTGATATCTATACCTGGTATATAGTAGGCTCAGTTAGGGAGAAAAGTATATGTTCTTAGGTGGTTGTTGTGATTTATTTCTTTAAGGAACTTAGGTAATGGACTTACTTGGAACTCAGGAAGGACTGTAGGGATAAGTAAGTACAGATGTTGAATTATATAATAATGGAAATATAAAGGGAGCTAACTGTATTCTTGCCTGAGGAGTTCCTATACATTTTTAATTTAATTTTCCCACCTTTTCTTATCCCAGAGTTGCCTGAGTGGAATTTTGATGGGTCTAGTACTTTCCAGTCTGAAGGTTCCAACAGTGACATGTACCTTATCCCTGTTGCCATGTTTCGGGACCCCTTCCGCAAAGACCCCAATAAACTAGTGTTCTGTGAAGTTTTCAAGTATAACCGGAAGCCTGCAGGTATGTACAGGTTGAGTATGGATCCCACCTCAATCCATAAATTCTCTGAAGGGAGAAGGTATTCTGAAATTAGTTTTAGAAGGCTAGACTGTCTCAGAACTGTTAGGACTCTGGGAGATTGATCCTCTGTCTATCCATTAACTAAAATGTGAATGAACATCTTGGTAGGCTGAAATTATGTTGGCCCAGAGGTTTGCAGTAATTGCACTTTTGGGTTCCTCTTGTGCAGTCACATGCCTGTTTCCAGTTTTCAGCCATTTAGCTCCTTAAACCCAGCAAAACTCCTGTGATGTCTCTTGCTACACTGGCAGTGAAACTTAGTGGTCCTGGGCCTTCATTGACTTTGTTTTAAAAGGTGTATTCCAAAGATCCTGGGCTCTGAAGCCAAGACAACCAACGATTTCCTGGCTTTGCTTGCCCCATAACCTGGACAGGTCGCTTAATCTAAGGCCTCTAAGCTTTGTTTTCTCATCTGTAAAAGTGAAGACTTCCAGTCCTTCAACAGGGTTGTTATAGATTCATTTTTCTTTTGAAGTTCTTTTCTAGCTTGGAAATTGTTTCTAGCTGAGCTCATCTCAGTGCCAGCCAATATTATATAACTTAGCACTTAAACTCACCAGGAATGTAAGCATCCTAATGGACAAATTATTCTCAATAAAAATTAGATTTGGCTCTAAGTCCCTAGAAACTAGGCACTAAGTCTGACAACTAGAAACAGCTGCCTTGTGAATAGAGGGTGTAAGTGCCTGGCATTTGGCACTTGGGAGATGGCCAGCGTGCAGATAAGGTGAACACTTGCTTTGTTCACAGTCAGCTCCCATGTGACTTGGTTGTAACTGAGTTTAATTATAACCAAAGTCTTTCTCAGAGAGTCTCTGTGAATGTACGGTTACATTGTAGTGTCTCCCATTTTCCTGACTTAGTGATGGGACAAAGTTTTGTCCTGGGTCAGTTCAGCCTCAGGGCTGAACACCTCAGTTGTGCAAGTAGATAAGGACTATTTTCTGATCAGCACCCATATTGAGAGATATGTCCCTCTACAACGCTAATGGCATATTGACTCTTTCTAGAGACAAATTTAAGACACACCTGTAAACGGATAATGGACATGGTGTGCAACCAGCAGCCCTGGTTCGGAATGGAGCAGGAATATACTCTGATGGGGACTGATGGCCACCCGTTTGGTTGGCCTTCCAACGGCTTTCCTGGGCCCCAAGGTAAGTCCTTTTGAGAGGAAGATGACCCTTTCCTCGACTGCTTATTGTCCAGGGAAGTCGCTTTCTCCAGAGATAGGAGCAACTCCACAATCAAAATGAGAGTGGCTAAAATAATGGTTAAAAACATGCCCTCACATTACTCCAAGCCAGAATTGAATGTTAACATTTACAAAAGTAAAGAAAAGGGATTGAGGAGGAAGTCTTTGGTTCCATTAAGGCTGTAGCAAAGAGAAGCTCCTGAGTTTTCATCCCTCTATCTGCAGGTGAAAGCTAGGATAGTTACTCAGGAGAGCAAGTTTTAAGGACCTTCTGATTTCTGGCTTTAGGATTTTCTGGTTTCCTCGTTATTTTACCACTTTATCTTTTCTCTCTTTTTTTGAGACAGGGTCTGATGTATCTCAGGCTAACCCTCTGCCTCAGCCTCCCAAATGCTGAGATTATAGATGTTTACCACCACACCCAGCTTACCGCTTTGTCTTGATATGTCTGCAGGTCCATATTACTGTGGTGTGGGAGCAGACAAAGCCTATGGCAGAGATATTGTGGAGGCTCATTATCGGGCCTGCTTGTACGCAGGAGTCAAGATTACGGGGACAAATGCTGAAGTCATGCCTGCCCAGGTAAATGGCTCTGATCGCCACCTTTTTCACCTCTGAAGACCTCAGATAGGTAGGATATGTCCCTACCTATGGGTACTGTGGGGACCCTATGGGGACTGTGAGTAGCAAAGGCTGCCCATTCACTGCTTACCAGCCCCAAACTCAAGAGTGGGTTGGAGTGAGTGATTTATTCCAAAGGCTGATATTATTCTTTCTAGTGGGAATTCCAAGTAGGACCCTGTGAAGGAATCTCCATGGGAGACCATCTGTGGGTGGCCCGTTTCATCTTGCATCGTGTGTGTGAAGACTTCGGAGTGATAGCAACCTTTGATCCTAAGCCCATTCCAGGGAACTGGAATGGTGCTGGCTGCCACACCAACTTCAGCACGAAAGCCATGCGGGAAGAGAATGGTCTGAAGTGAGTACATGTTTCTGGGACCAGCTTTCTTCTGCCGGGAACCTTAGGAAGGGAGCATCAGTCTGCACAGTGTCCTCTCCAAGAAGACTTGCCAGGTCTATTGGAGATGTTTGCTGCCCGCCCACCTCAGGCTGCATGTGCCTTAGCTCTTGACACCTTGCTTAAACTTCTTATTTTGTTCCCATTTGAAAAGTGCCTAATGAACCAGGCATGGTGGTACTTGGTTGTAATCCCATCACCTGTCTGTAATCTCAATATTTGGGAGGCTGAGGCAGGAGGATCACCATGAGTTTGAGGCCGGCCTGGCTACATAGTAAGTTCAAGCCCAGCCTGAACTACATAGTAAGACCCTGTCTCAAATCACCACCAACCCCCCCCGCCCCAAGTGCCTAATGATTCTCTAGGAATAGACTGAAAGATGATGTTAGGAAAAAGCTGACAGATCTGTTCATCTGTTCAACTCTTCTCAGTCAAGAATGATGACTTTGTACTGTATGTCAGATACAGTTCTGACACACAGGTAGTAACAAGGCAGAGTCACTTGCCTTATGGAATAGTTATTGGTGGTGGGGCCCTAATTTAGTGAACTTCAGTCTTAGATTCATACATGTTCCTGCCCCTAAAGAGTAAGAGATTTTTTGGTGACAAGGTCAGACCCTATTTTCTGTTCCTGTAGGTACATTGAGGAGGCCATCGAGAAACTAAGCAAGCGGCACCAGTACCACATTCGTGCCTATGATCCCAAGGGGGGCCTGGACAATGCCCGGCGCCTAACTGGATTCCATGAAACCTCCAACATCAACGACTTTTCTGCTGGTGTAGCCAACCGTAGCGCCAGCATCCGCATTCCTCGGACTGTTGGCCAGGAGAAGAAGGGTTACTTTGAAGACCGTCGCCCTTCTGCCAATTGTGACCCCTTTGCTGTGACAGGAGCCCTCCTCCGCACATGTCTTCTCAGTGAGACTGGCGATGAGCCCTTCCAGTACAAAAACTAAGTGGACTAGACTTGCAGCTCTCGAGCCCCTCCTAGTTCTTTGCCTTCCTCCAGCTCTTCCCCATGTTTCAGTTGTCCTACTTCTCCCCTTTGTAACTCAAAGGTTGTAATATCAAGGTCTTTATTCCTCATGCTCAGTTAATCTTGCTTTCTTTGGCCAGGATAAGAGGGATCAAGTTCTTAATCTTTTCACACCCACCCACTCCCTCTGTCCCTATCACAGAAACTTTAATGCATTAGTTGGGACACGGGTAAGGAAACTAACCACTTTCCCCCTCAAGTGTGCTTGTCCAGTAGATGTAGCTATCCAGACGGAGCAGATGTGTGCGTGAAACAGCAGGGGAGGAGATTTTTATTCTTCAGGGTAGCTGAAAGCGGAAAGACCTGATTTGGGTTAAGTGAGGAGATCTCTCTTGATGGGAAGCTCTATTTTCAAAGATATAAGTAGAAATTAGAGAAAGAAGAGCAGTTGGGGATCAGGGAGGAATGTCCTTCATTGGTTTCTTGCTGCAATGCTCCCCTATTGGGGCTCCACACAGCACCCCCCCACCTCGTGAACACAAAGCTGAGTAAACTGATGGATATCCCTACCTTCAAAGAAGAAAAGATCCTTACCACTTGGTTCTCCATTTATAACACATAGAGTAGTATTTTTATATTTAAATGTAAAAGCAAAAAAAGTATATATGGGTATGTGGGTATGTGTGGGTTTTTTCTAAAAGGAGGAAATCATCCTGGTCGCTAGGTGCCAAATTGGGTTTAGAAAGAAGGATCTCCTTTTGGGTAGGAGTGGTTAATGTGGCTCTTAGTCCTTCCTTATCAAGTAAGGTTGTCCCCGCCCTGCCCACCTTCAGCAGAGGGAGGACACTGGACAGTTAGAGCCTTGTGGCTGGGTTTAAAGATACACGCATACCTGTCCACAACTGAATTTAGAAGTGTGAGTTGGCTGGTGAACTTGAACATGTCACTGACAGACGGGTACAGGAGTTCTATTCAGGTGGGCTAGCATGTCACTAAAACAGGCTTTTTGATATATTAAATTTTTTTAAAAGCAAAACAAGTTTAGATTTTAATCAAATTTGTAGGGTTTTTAAGTGTAATTTTACAGAATTGCCTGTTTGCTTCTACTGTCTCCTTTCACTCTGCTCTTGGAGTTGGGGACAAGACTAGAGTTAAAACACTTGTAATTTTGTATCCTAATGTCTTTCCTCCCACTGCAGAATATTCTCGTTTCTTAAGGAGTTGTTTCTTTTAAAATAAACCCCACCTCCATTCCTACATTGTCTCTCCTGTTCTTTTGTTTTTGTGCTGGCTGCAGCAGGCCAGCTGTGGTTTTCTCTTGCCATGACGACTTCTAATTACCATGTACAGTATGTTCAGAGTTAGATAACTCCTCATTGTAAACAAAATGTAATTGCCCAGATCAGTGCTCATAAATCAGCCTAACATTTATAAGATCTTTTCTGACTTGTGTTTTTCTTAGAAACCTATGTGGCATTTCATTCCTTTTATTTCCTACCCTAAAATGGGGGAGGGGGTCTGTTTTGTTATACAGGCAAAATAAGTTCAGGATTATTTGTGCTTTGTGAATTTTTCTGGTACTGGAGATAGAACTCAGGACCTTGTGCATGTGAGGCAGGCATGGCGCCACTGAGCTAAATCCCTGGCCCATGTGCTTATGAATTTTTAAGAAGCGAGTCCTATTGCTGACCAACTTCTTCCTGTACCTCTAACTTTTGGATGTTTGTGATCTCTGCTGTCTTAGTTACCTTTTTCTTGTTGCTGAGACAAAATACCTGACACCCAAAGTTGAAGGAGGAAAAGTTTATTTTGGTTCACAGTTTGTAAAGGTTTCAGTCCATAGTCATTTGGCTCAAAGGGAGGGTGTCATGGCAGGCATCGCAGAAGACAGTCCATGGTAAACCAGGGCAGTCAGAAAGCAGCAAGCAAGGAAGTAGTGAACAAATTACCAAAGTAATGAGCTGCAAGCCTCTTTCTGTCCCTTACATTGTGTCCAGACTACCTGCCCTTAGGGGGGGTAGCACTAACACCATTATTAATCATAGCATTATACCACGAATCAATCACACTCTAGACCCAGCCACCTCTGAAGAAGTGCCCCCTATGACTACATGAGGCTTTGGGGGGCATCTAGGCACATCAGCTTCTTCATCTGGACTATTTGGTCACAGTTGTTTCCTAGGTTTTTGGAGCAGAGTACAGCCTCTACCCCTTCCCTTGTTCTCTAGAATTCAGTTTTGACCTGCCATACTATAACATGGTTTCCAGGATTCCTGACTTAATTTTCAATGTATTTAATGTTACTAACTGGTTTTACTATCTGCTTTTCCCAAATCCATCCCCTGCCCACCAGCCAGTGATGCACTTAAGTAACAAAACACTGCATTGCTGCTGGGCTGGGAGCCTGCTTTCCAAGCCCTGCTTGCCATGGGCACAGGGCCTGTCCTTGGATGTTGCCAGTGGCCCGCTTACCATTCTCCTGAAAACTTCACGTTGAGATCTCTGCTCTTGTTCTTGGTCCCTGGAAGTTCTCACTTATTCTGGCCTTCCTGCTCTGTAGTACACCTGCACTAGGCTGGCTAGGAGCTCCCTTCTTGCTCCCATGATTTGCACATACCGCTAGCGAAAAGCAGCTATCAGTCTAACATGAGTTCTAATGTGTAACACTTAAAAGAGTATTACTATGACTAATAGTACTGTGGGCTGTACTGATGATTGTTAGCGATGTCAATTTTGGAGATAGCTAGGACCTGTTATAGCAGTTCTTAGAGATGACTGCTTTGTTCAGGCAAGTATGAATTTTGTTCATCTTCCATAAACCTAGATGGATATCCATGGTTTTTCCTAGGCAAGTTGCCTGATAATGGCTAAATTTTCAAAGGAGGGTTGTCAGTAGTGATTTGCAGAGGATGGGCCCACCCAGTTTACACCTGTTGTTCTAGTATTATTAAGAATGCCCTCTTTTTGTTGTTTGAGACAGGTCTTGCTATGTAGCTCAGGCTAGTCTTGAACTCACTGTGTAGCCCAGGCTGGCCTTGAACTTGTGGTGATCCTCCTGCTTCAGCCTCCCAAGTGCTAGGATTGCAGGTGTGTTGCACCATGCCCGACTTCAAGAATGTCTTTTTTTTGTATTTTCCTGGTTTTGATGTTAAAATTGTATTACGTCTTATTTTTACTGTGTCTCTACTTCCACCTCCCCGCTAAAGTTGGCTTCCCTTTACTGCATGCTGTTATCAATAGACTGAAGAGATGAGCACTTTGGTTTCTGGCTCACTGTAACCAATTCTCTGACAAAAAGATGACATGAAAAGGTTAGAAACTACCAGCATAGTTCCTTCACCCTGTCACTTAGAATTAGCTTTGACCTACAGGTCACACTGCAAACTCCTTGTTTCTAAAGTGTTTTTTATAGTTCATTTAACATACACTGGGTTACCTGATAACATTATCAGTGATAGATTAAACAGAATGAAGGAATAGATTAAACAATAAGAACCAAGCCTTCACCTTTAAAGAGACTGACCAGAGCTGAGTGTGGTGGCTCATGCTCTAAATCCTGCTACTTGAGAGGCTGAGGCAGAAAGATAAGTTCCAGGCCATCCTAGAGTACAAAGGGAGACCCTGTCCAAAAACCAAACTATTCAAAGGTTCTCATTGAATTCCTTAAATAGGAGTGCCCTTAGTATTATTCTGTCAGTTACTAGGTAAGAGCTGAATGGCAGCACAAGCTAATCAAGGATGTCAAGGAGTTATGGATGGGTGCTGTCTATGGCCAGTTAGCCGAGCATGGTGGTGCACCTCTGAATCCCAGTACTCTGGAAGGCTAAGGCAGGAGGATTCCAAATTTAAACCCAGTCTGGGCAATTTAGTAACTGACCCTGCTTCATAATAAATTTTTAAAAAGCTGGAGATGTGGTTCATTGTGAAGGTCCTGGGCTGAATTCTTAGTACCACAAAAATAAACAGCTACATCTGAGCTGGGTGCTGTGATGCAAGCCTGTAATCCCACCACCTGAAAGGGTGAGGTAGAAAGAAGGTAGAAGAGAGTTCAAGGCTAGCTTGGGCTACTAGGAAATGGTTTATTTGTTGTTTGTTTGTTTAGCTTTATTTGAGACAGAGTCTCACTATGTAGTTCAGGCTGGCTCTGAACTCTATGTAGCCAAGGCTTCCTAGCTCAGCTTGAGTGCTGGGATTACAGGCATGTGCCACGATGCCCAGCTATGCAACAAATTTGAAGCCAGCCTAAGCACAGCAAAACCCTGTCTCAAGAAACCTAAAAGTAAGCATGGTGGTTCATGCCTGTAATCCTAGCACATAGTATTGGCATGGGTTCAAGGCCAGCCTGAAGTACATAGAAGGACTCTCAAATAAAATAAAATTTAAAAAAACTAGATCTCTGTTGCTGCGTAGAATACTGGATAAAAGGAGTTCCTAAACCAGGGGGTCCAAATAGTTCACCCAGAGCTTAATAGATAACTCCAGCTCCTGCTACCCTTATTACAATAAGGTGCAAAGTCTAAAAAGTAACTTACTGTCCCAAAGAAAGCAAATGTCCATCATGCAGCAGGACTTTTCATTGCACATTTCATGAAACCAGGTATCCTGCTTTTCTTGCTCACCACTGTATCCCCAGACCCATCTGCCTGTAGTGTTTGTTTAATGAGAGTTTTTTTTTAATGTAGCAGTTTGGTAAGCTTTAGGACTACAACTCAGAATGATGTGAAACTTGTGAGGTCCTGGATGTTGATTGGAGTTGTTTGAACTCTCACCATGACACTAAGGTGAAGTTCTGTCTTACTGAGTTTAAAGAGAATCAAACATGTTGATTATTTTTCACTACAAACAATATGGTCCCACTAAGAGTGGTGGGGAAATGAGTGACTTCTTGCTATGGTCATTCTGGTTGGAATCAGGGTGCCAATGTCTCAAGTTGCTTTAAGAAATATACCTAATATAAAATAGAAATTCATCATGTAACTCCAAAGGCTTCAGACAAATTGCTACTGTAAACAAAGTGAGCTGATTAGAGCCTTGACATTTTATAGCCTTGAGCTGAGTCACCAACCATAAAAATATAAAGTATAAAAAAGTATACAGTTGGGCCGGGGATTTAGCTCAGTGGTTCTGCCACTTGCCTCACAAGCGCGAGGTCCCAAGTTCGATCCCCAGTACCAAAAAAAAAGGATAAAGTGTAAAAAATTCATAGCAGCCTTCATAGTATGCAGAAATATGCACATATATATACATATATAATATAGATATACCTGTGAGAAGATGCATATATATATAGGCATCAGATACACACTACTGATCCTGTGTAGGATTTTTTTCACCTCAAGATACAACACACCTTAAAAAGGAGACAGGAGCTTATGAATGTGTCTACCAGAAAAGTGCATAAGAGAAATTTATTGGGCTGAAAAATCTGTCACTGGGAATGGGAAAGTGAGACACAGAAGTTATAATCGCTCTTAAAGCAAACTCTTAGCCTGGCATTTAATCCCAGCACTCAGCAAGCTGAGGCAGGAGGATCACTGTTAATTTGAGACCAGCCTGAACTACATAGCAAGACCCCGTCTCAAAAAAAATAAAAAAGAAAAGAAAAAGAAGTACTACTACTACTAATAATAAATAAAGCAAAGTTTTATTGCCAACCCTAACTTCTTTCCCCTCCCCATGCTTTGTATACGGACAGGAAGTTCTCAGAGTCTGCCAACTAATAAATTGATTCACAACATGGAGAGCCACTGATAGAGTTGTGTGCTAGTCTTATGTTACAGAGGAACTGTCTACATATTTATTGTTGCCATTTGATGAATTGCTTTTCAGGGCCTTGAACCTAAGCAATTTACTTGCATTATCTTGAGGCTGGGACTGGTCTCAGCCTGGTCAATTCTTCCACTATATGGCATAGCAGAACTATTTATTTATTTACTTATTTATTGGGTTTTTAAAAATTATTATTTGTCTTTTTTGGGTTTTTTTTTTTGGTACCGGGGATAGAACTCGGGTCCTTGCACTTGCGCAGCAGGCAGCGAAACTAATGAGCTAAATCCCTGGCCCTTTTTTTTTTTTTAGAGAGAGTCTATGTAGTCCAGGCTGGCCTTAAACTCGTGGTGATCCTCCTGCCTCAGCCTCCTGAGTGTTGGAATTACAGGCACACCTAGCAAGATCTATTGATTTAATTCCAGTGGGCACTCAGCCACTAAATCTAAACTGTGGAAAGAAGCTTTTCAATATAGGTTTAGAATAGCTCTTCCTTTGTGAATATTATACTCCCCCTGTTCACATTACATTGGAGAAGAATTCAAGATACCTCCAAAAACTTAATAAATAAGGGAATCAAAAAAGGCACAGCATTTTGATGCAAGCATGTGAATGAGGAGGCCAAGTGAATGGAAAGCCTTTTTCATGCCCCTCCTCTTCTTAAAACTAA